GTGTGTGTGTGTGTGTGTGTGTGTGTGTGTGTGTGTGTGCTCCCAGATGTCTGAATACTGCAGTCACCGGGTGCATACCTGATTGAAAACAGGGAGCAGCAGTTTTCATGCATCTCACTGAACACCTGTGTTAAATTGTTAAAATAACCARTTGCTTCCTAACCGTGACATCAGCTGGATTATTTAGTATAAAAACACATCTCTTGCTCAGATAAAACCAGAATTTAGATGCTTCCAGTYTGGCGTAATGTTTTATTATTTATGATGTGAAGGGGGCTGAGAGGACTGAAGAGGAGGAGTTTTAGCTCTCATCACTCTGACTGATGTCACAGATTTTAAGTAGCATCAGTTACATTTAGTTATTAGTGGGGTGTGTGTGTGTGTGTGTGGGGGGGGGGGGGGGGGGGGGGGCTGTAGCTGGGTGGTCCTGAAGCTGCAAGTTTGACCTCAAGATGCATCAGTTTAGTTTTTTTTTTTTTTCTCCAGTGCTGGCACACTTATATATAATTYATCTGAACTAATGATCTTTCAATTAAATTCTCAGTGGTTCACTAAATAAATTAGGTAGTAAATTTTTTTGAATGAAKTAACCACACCCTGCCTCCTCTGGATAAAAAGCTTTTAAAATAAATCTGCACATTTCAAATAAATTATATGTAATGAGGGACTTCTTAGGAGCTACAAAAGTTGAAAATGCAATAATTTTTTTGTGGTTCAGTAATTCTCTGCAGAATCAAATTAGCTACTGTTTCATTTAGAGACTACTTTAGAAACACAAGGTCAGACAGGAAACTGTTTTTTTTATAAAGAAAACCTTCTTTTTTTCTGTGATAAATAACTTCTGACTGTTATCACGAGTGATTAAGGTAATGAAATTTATGATATACTGAGGAGATTTCTTTTTTGAGAAGATTAACTAAAAGTGGAATCAGATCTATCCTGTGCAGCTCTTGAACCCGTGTGTCAGAAGAGCTGGTCAAGCATCAGTTCATTATCTAAATCAGGACTGGCTAAAAAAAGCTTTTCTTTGAAAAGCCGCCGAGCTGTGGTTTGATTACACACACGAATGCATCTGAGTTTTTTCTGCTTCGAGCCTTTTACACACCAACAGTTCTGGCCTCTAAATTTGGACTTTGCGCCCCACTTTGGTAAACTGTGTCAGGGTTGATGCTTCGTAAAACGACTGCACYTTATGTGCACGGTTATTTTTGTCTTTCTGCATTAAAGTCATATTTTTAGTTGGAAAACTGAATATTCCATCATCTACATCAGGGGTTCTCAAACGTTTTGGGTCTGGAGACCTCTTCCAGGGGTGAAAAAATTCCAGGGACCCCCCTCATCAACCCCATGCTGTTAATGCAAAAAAAATTACTGTTATTTTACCCCTAAATTTCATGATAATGTTATTTTTAATTTGATTTAGTATGTTTGTTTTACTAGAGCATTATTTCCCATATTCATTTTTAAAAATAAAACCCCCAAATTTTTGAGGACCCCCAAGACACGGACCGTGGACCCCTGGGGGTTGTGGGACCCCAGAACCTCTGATCTACATGATCTAATCTATGCATCAGTGCATGGGCTCAGGAACACTTCCACAAATTATTGTCTGTAAACGCTCTGTGCATAGATGCTGTTTAAAGCTCTATCGTGCAAAGATGAAGCCATATGTGAAMYYCATCCCAATATGCTKCCATCTTCTCTGGATCAGAGCTAATTTAAAACAGTCTGAGGCAAATAGAACTGTTCTGTGATCAGATGAATCAAAATAAGAAAAAAGGTCACTACTTCCTGCGTACAGCCTGTTACCACCTCTCTGATGGTATGGGGTTGCATTAGTGCCACTGACATTAAAAAGCACCATCAATGCAAAAAAAAGTTGATATAGTATTTAAGATGTGCTCCCATTTAGCAAAAACAATAAAGTAAAAAATGAATAAATAAATTCCARCAGAGAATCCAGTAATGATCCAGGACTGTAAAATGCATTCATGTGGATTTAAAGTGCAGCTATGAATCTTTCAGAAAGAAAAAAACTTTCACTCCTATTATTTCCACTGCCTGAGTTTGTTAAATTTTTTATTTGTTCCTTTTCTGTCGTTCAGATTTAACTTTGAGGCGGTGCAGCTCTGCCTCAATGTTAAATCTGCTGCTAGAAGAAGACAATGTTTGACTTCTCTTAATAGATTATGAACTTATTGGAACTAATTTTGTGAATGCTTTTGTGTCCTACATACATGAAGCTTTTTTATTATGGTGGTGGTGGTGGGGGGGGGGGGTTCTAACTGGCAGCAGCAATCGTTATCTGTTCTTTAGCTGCTCTGAGTGCTGAAGCTGCAGTTGTACTGCCTCAGGCCATGGTCCAGTCCAGGACTAGAATAATCCTGGAGCTGCACCGGTGTTCTGTGTGGGTATCAGATAACAGATTTCATGCTCGCGTTCAGACGATCCATTTTCCCAGATGTGCCGTTTGGCTTAAACATAAACACCTGGTTTAGTGTTCCAGGATGTGCGGAGAAGTTTTTTTTTTTGTCTTTTTGTCCTCACAGACACCTGAAACCTCAACACGGCAACTTGATGCACCCGCAGACTGATGTTATCGTAAAAAAAAAAGTCCTCTTTTCCTGACTTTCCCATGAGAGCACAATGGATTTATTCTTCTCATATTTCCCAGCCCCCTCCTCTTTCGTTGCTCTTTAAATCAATGGGGAATGTGTAGTGTTTCCATCCCAGAGGACACGCTCTGAATGCGTCACGCAGACGGATGAACGAGCCGTGGCTCGACTCSTCCCGCTCTGTGATGCGGCTCAAGGCTCCAGCGAATAAGATCAGCGAGGAAACCTGGGTTCAACAAAGAAGCAGACACGAACAGCACTGATTTATTTTGTGTAGTAGGAGCTGACAGTCATTCACAACATGAGATATTATGAGACTGTGCTTAGTGTTGTTTTTAAGGTTTGACCAAAATGAGACAATCTTGGTCTAATACGCTTTTATTAAAGGGACCTCCGATTAGTTGTAACATTAGACTTTATTTGATAAACATGTATTTAACTGTAAAATAAAGACTGTAAAAATACTGTAGGCTGTTTAGTTTAGTAAAATTTTAAAATATATTTTAACACAGACGAAGCCATTTTATTTAAACACAAAGCATTCTGGGTAAATGACGACGTGGATAGGTCCTCGGTGCGAGGCTGCTAGCAAGCTAGATCCACCCTGAAGGTTAATCTTGGACAATATCTGATGATCGACTCTTTTAAATGAAACCAGAGAGCGTTGACAGAGAGGAGAAGGTAGAAATGACTCAGCCTGGAACTGAAAATATGGATGGAGGACAACAGAGCTGCTTCATGGAAGAAGAACCTCAGCTTATACACTTCTCAAAAAAATAAAGGGAACACTTAAACAACGCACGCTAACTCCCGATCTTAATCAATGAAATATTCGAATTGAGT